CACGTCTACGAATCCTTTGTTGCAAAATTAAAAAATGGTAGGTCACTACTTCTACTTATATCTGCAGGCAATCCGTCCATAGATTCATTTCTTCCATTTACAATTTTCGATATTTTTTGTATTTGATAAAATCCAATCTTTTTCCCCGAAACTTTTTTTAATTTTGTCATAAATTGCCTTAGCTTGTGCAGATTCTTCAATTTTTGTAAAATGTATATATTTTTTTGTAGTTTTAATTATTTTAATGGATTCAGTTACTACCATACCTTGGATTTCAAGTCGAGTGATAGATGAAGAAATAAATCCATAATTTTTTTTATAAAATTAAAAAACTTACTACTTCTTTTGAATAATTGTCAAATATTCACATACACAATGAAAAATTGTCTAATATGCACTTATAAATCATAAACAGTCAAATATGCAAAATATGCAACTAAAAATTTTAAATATAAACTTGTAATGCTATGAAACAAATTTCTATATTACTTAGCTATGTTTTTGATGATTATTTAAAAACTTGCAAACTCTTAGAAGTCCTGAACCCTAATCATCACTAAAACGAAATGGTATAAAATAAAAACATAACTGTCACATGACTAGGGTTATACTATGATGTACTTTTTATTTTGTTAATCAGATGCATTTTCTTCTATACCTATATAATTAATTAGTAAAATTCACCCATTGTTTTCTTTCTTATAGCAATCGGTTACATACGTATAACGGAACACTGACTTGTAGAATTGAGTACACACAAATTATTATCAATTATCCAATTATAATAGTCATCATAATAATTTTGATTGATGATGAATATTGTATAATTGAAATGTTTAGACCTATATGATTCATTCATATATCATTTTTTATTCGATTCTATAAAATATACACGAGTAATAACTATATCAGCCAATTTACTGTTTTTTTTTGCGTTCTTTGCTCTTGATAAATAGTAGGATTTCCGACTTATTGTGACTTAAAGGTTAGTACCATACACCGTATAGATACATTTTTATAATTTGTATATAACATTTATATAATTATTTAGAAGTATTCATAGAATAGAAATATTTAACTCGTCTTATATGATACCTATTCGGATGTACCTACACCAAATAATACGTATTGTATGAATAAATACTAAAACTAATATAATAGAATAATTTTAATTATTCTTAATTATTTTTAATAGTTAAGTCGATTTTTTCCAATTGTATTTCTGAGGTATGTTCTAAGTCTTTTTAAGGTAGAAAATGATCTTTCACTGCTTGCTGTAGTTACGGAAAATGTAGCTAGTATTTGAAGACGTTTATAAGTCAATGGAAAAATGAGTAGATTACATGTTATAAGAGCTTCCAGTGCATTTTTTAGTTTTTATGCTCCAATAAACTTTTGTGTCCATGATAATAATTCTCAAATTACTTAATAAGGACTGCATATTAAATCTTCACAATAATTTTTTGCCAAAAATTAATATTGTCCAATATTCTAAATAAATTATTTCACTGTCGACTAATTTTAATTAATATTTGAAACAATAGTACACGAACCATTAATCCTATTACATTCTTTTTCAAAAAATGTTTAAAGGTGCTTCAATAACTCTAATCTGTTCTTAGTATATTTGGGATAACTAAAAAAAAAAAAAATGTTACAATTCACAGTTGAGTTGTGTTAAAACATGTATTTTATTCCTAATACTATATTCAAATTTTTTAGATGTAGATCTCATTTTCTAATATCGGGTTATATTTTAATACTTAATTAGTGTTTACTTAGTATTTTTTACATTTTTTAGTCTGTCATAAATATAATTTATGTCTCGGTTGGTAATTTTATATTTGATAAAAATGGTTAATAAATCCTTAATTTTTCACTTTTTGTGATCAGTTGGAAACTTAATTTTATAAATAGCTGTCTTTATAATTCTATTATATTTGCTGCCCAGTGCAATTACATGTTGCAATTATGGTGAAAGGACACGACGAAAGCATTGTTATTGTATAATATTTTTAAAACTTTTTATCAAACCAAAATTATTTTATTGGTATTTTTTTTCGTAAAAAAAGATAAGATAATATGAATATTTCAATTATTCACAAAGACCCCAAATATCATTAAACATTTTACAATCTATAGTAAACAGTACTAAAAGCGTTTAGTAAAAATCTCCAAGCCTATGATTATTATTTTTTGAGTTACAATGAAAATAAAATTTCCATTTTGTCAAAAATGAGTATGTCGTAAATATTACCGTTATTTTATAAGTTGTGTTAAATTTTTTGTAATTATTAAGAAATCAGCGTACACAGATACAATAAAACATGATGACCTAGTATATTGCTCAGAATTTAATACTAGAAAAATGTGTTCCATTTTAATATTCAATAATTTTCTTCCACAAGCAAAATTTATTTTTTATTTATTTATTTTTTTTATTGAAATAATATACGGGCTAGGACCCAATTACATGAACTCATTTTAAAATAATGTTCGAGAAAATTATTAAATAAATACAGAATAAATTAAAGTTTAGTACAACAAAAAATATAAAATAAAATACAATTAATATTAAATAAACATATCAAGTTATATGTACTGTTAGTTCAGCTGAAACATGATTTTTGTAAAATTAGAAGAAAGTAGAAAAAAACAGATCAATATTATAGTTATTTACAGAGTTCATGATTCTCAAGAGTGGTGTGTTTTTTTTTTTTTTTTTTTTCGTCGACATTTTTGTTTAATTATTTATACAAGCAACGTTGAACTTTTTTTCTTTTTTTTTTTTTTTTATTAGGAAACTTGGTTAAAACCATTAGTTTCAACAATTATGATAATATACAAAGTAACTTACAAATATATAATATTCTATTAAATTAGAAACAAAAGAAAAGAACAATTTTTTTTTTTTTTTTTTTAAATTTTTAAATTTAAATTATGAAACCAGCCTGGTTGAATAAATTAAGTAAGGATAAAGTAATGGATTGAGAATTGTAGGAGAGAATAGATTGAGGATTGGCTGGAATATTTAGAGAATTGATTTGTGAGAGAAAGCTTAGAGTGGTGTGTTAGTTGCATAATTTGTAGTTTTAGATTTTAAATAAAATAGGTTAGTTGATCGGGTGTGAGCTGGGGAAACTTTGAATGACAGATGAGATAAGAGGTTAGGACAATCAATATAACCATTTAATAACTTAAAAATAAAATATAAATCAAATCTGGTTGTACGTTGTTCAAGGGATTCCAGATTCAGATAAGAAAGTAAATGATGGTAAGATGTATGGGTAGTTCTGGATATATTCAACTTGAAAGCTAAAACCGTAAGAACTTGTTTTGAATTTTTTCCATAGTATTTATTAATCCAATATTATATGGTGACCAGATAATTGAACAATATTCAAAAATTGAGCGTACCAGTGAACAATAAATTGAAATAAAAGCATTTTTATTATTGAAATCGACACAACTTCTGGATATGAAAACAAACAGTTTTAAGGTTTTATCCTTTGTATAATGGATATGAGCATTAAATGTTAATTTAGGTTCAAAAAAGTACGCCAAGATCCTTTATAACATCAGTTATTCTGGGTAGAGGTGTACCATTGATATTATAGTTGATGAAATTATTGAAATTAGAACGGGAGAAAGTCATTACTTAACATTTTTGAATATTAAGTGTTATACAATGTTTATTGCACCAATTAAAAAGCATATTTAAATCAGATTGTAATAAAGCAGCATCATTAAAACAATTAATGACACGGTAAATTGTAATATCATCAGCAAACATAAGCTTAGAACTGTTTAGAAACGCAATGTCATTAATATACATTAGAAATAGAATTGGGGTTAGGTGAGAACCCTGAGGAACACCCGAAGTAACTAATATTGGTTTTGACTGAAATTCTTTATAAACAACAATTTGAGTACGCTGTGAAATTTAAGACTCAGTCCATTGAAGAAGAGGACCACATACGCCAATATATTTTAATTTATGTAAAATAATAGAGTTATTAATTTTATCGAAAGCTTTAGCGAAATCAGTATAAATAACGTTCATACGTAAACCAGCTGAAAAAGTATCAATTATGGAATGTTGAATGTATATTATATATTAAAATGACTTGAAAAATCTTATATTCCAATTTTTTATCGAAACTCTAAAATCAAATAAATTAATTCTTTAAATTTGAAACTGCAAAAAACATTAAAGAAGATATCAATAGTTAACAAATTACTTCCACGAGCACATTGTAAGAAAAATCAAAATATGCAAATAGAAATATTAATCTGTCCAATTTAATAATTATTGTTTTTTACGAGTAGTGTTAATATAAATATTCTTAAAATAAATGAAATCACTATTTTTCTAAGCTAATTAATTTTCAGCAAATATATATATATATATATATTATATTTTACGAAAAATATTACAACTGTATTAAAATTAATAATGAAATGTTTGAATGTATAAGCATATTAAAACAAATAGCGTAAATTAATAAATAAATTATTAACGATTATGATTCATATAGAGATTTATCCAGTTTTATTCAAAAGCTAAAAACTATATAAAAATAATTGTAGTATATATGTTTTATCTTTAGGATAAATTCTATATAAATACGTTCGATATATCTTAATTTTACAAACACATTATGTAAGCTAACATTTTTGAGTAAACGAGTGGTCAAAAGTATTTAACACTCAATTCGGCACGAATGGTATTATTATTAACAAAAAAAAAAATTTAAAAAAAAAATAATATTTATACACATGTCAATTACTAATTTGTAAATTCTGAAAAAAATAATAATAGTTTAACTTCACTGTACTAATATGACAGAAATAAAATAAAGTATTTGCAATCCCAAAATTTGTATAATACATTCACGTACATACATTCAAAATCACAATTTTTATTTATGTGGACAAAATAACACACATAATTAGAATAGTGAAAAAAATGAATTGTCAATATATTACAATGTTACAAATTTGCCAGAAAAAAAGTAACATGCATGAAATCTAGAAAATTGTTATACATTTTAATTGGGATATAAAACTATTTATTAAATAATGCAGTATGTACAGCGTCTATATCGTAAGTGACGTACGCTGAAGGTTTGTACATATCAATAGCACGTGAAGGCATTCTGCAACTTGTTCTAGAACAAAATGTAATACATCATTAAAAAATATAATTATAACTATAAATAGTAACAATAAATGTTATATAATTATATATTATAGACGTTAAGAGTTTAATATATCTGCTTTTTAATTTAAGATTCCGATTAATTACCTAGGCAGAGATATTGGTCCAGCAGGATTAGATCCAACATTTCTTACCATATCACAATTCATAGGCCTGCCATTAAGTAGCCTGTTGTGATATACATAAACTGCTTGAATAGCATCTGCATAACGTTCATATATCACTTCTGAAACACCTGGTCGAACTACTCTAGACTCTAATAAATTACCAAAATCGGTAAAAAGTTCCTAAATAAGAAAGTAAAAAAATTGATTATCAATCTAAGTAAAAAAACCAATATTAAGTTATTTTATACTATATAGTTTTTATAAAATTAAATACATACTATTATATCTTCAGATGTAACAGACGGTTCTAAATTAGAAATAACAATTTTATGGCCAGAGGGAAGTGAACGCTTAGCCATAGCTGTTTGACGAGAATCTAATCTTGAACGTAATGTTTCACTCAATCCTCTATGATTCCTTAAATAATTTATAAATTAATTAATTACTACTAGTTATAATATAATATAATATAATATAGTAACACTAACTAAGATTATCAAATGATATGATTAAGTAATATTTTTATAAATAAAAATTATTTATTCTTATATAACTTGTTATATAAGGCATTGTTATATATGGCAGTTAATAACTAAAATAATTTTAATTTGTAAAACTTTTGGGAAAATTATATTTTACCTTGAATTTATGTCTAATAAATCATCTTCATATCCATCACGATTAAACATTGCATTTCCTCCTATATTCCGTCTCATTACCTATAATATAATCAAAAATACAACAAATTGAAAATTTTAATTTAAAATTTATTTTATTTACTGGGGTCGGAGAGTATCTACTGTTTTCTTCCCAATCCATTGCCATAGGCCTACCATATGGTTTTTCATTTATTCTTGAAGGTCTAGTAGAACGCTCAAAAGGCTGTCTTATAGACTGAGCATTTGACATTGGACGTCTTGAGATTCTCATATCACGTCTCATTGGTCTTATTTCTTCAATTGGTTTGTCGCCTTATGTTAAAAATACAGTCAATAATTAAGTAAACAATAATAATTAAAATCTAAATATTTTACTACTAAATGTGTCCAACTCAGAATTGAATGAATTACTAATACGTCTTTTCACTACGCCATCAAAACGTCCTTGTTTTACAGTAGGCCGTCGGTCACGAACACTTGAATGATGTGAAGAGGATCTTTCATCCAAAATAGACTTAACGGTAAGAATGCCACGGTGGTCAATTTTTACATGACCTAAGTTATTGGAAAGTCCTCTTGAAGTTCCCATACTATGAGTACCCTAATAAAACAATATAAAACACTATGCATTATTATCTAATAAAATATGACTTAAGATTAAATTAAATAATTTTACAATAATATTGCTATCATTATATCTATAAGATTTTATAATAATAATCATATAATATTAAAAACTGATTTGTTATATAGAATGATAAAAAAATTGTCATATTCTAACAGTCACGGAAATAATATTTAAAAATGTAAAATTAAAAAGTTATAATAAAGATGCAAAAAAAAAAAATTAAAGGTAAGAAAAATAAATTTTGATTAAGTACCAATTAATGTAAATTTAAACATCACCAAAAGCATAGGCAGACAATTATTGATTATTAAAACATTATATTAATTTGAATAAGCTTATCAATATAATATGGATTGTAAAAATTTGGTCTAAATAGAATTTCCATTTTAAAAATGGAATTGTATTGGATAAATACTAACTACTTAATTATATTTATTAGATTAGTATACTAGATCAATGCTTAAACATATTATAAAATTGAGATATGCAGTTTATTTCATGAATATAGGTTAGTTACTTACATCATAAGAGGATGAATGTAATCGGCGTTCTTGGATTATTTCACGAGCATCTTTCTGTTTTGTTAGTTTTTGTCTAGCATCTACCATTACAGTACGTTTTTCTAAAGCTTTTTGTAAAAGTATAATACGGGCATCCATCATATTATTTATGGCCACTCTTGTATTTTTTGTCAACATTTTTCTTTTGCTTAATGTACCATTACTAGACTGTCTTTGGGCAGCTTTTAATCGTTTAATTTTTGCAGCTTTATTGGCTGTAGCTAAACGTAAACGATTTTGAGGACCAGATTGCAGTGTTTTGGTACGCCTAAAATCACAATTTAACTAATTCAAATTACCAGTTTAGCACATGGGTTTTAAATAACAAATTAATGTATAAAAAAATAAAAATAAAAATTTGAGTGGCAGACCGCCGGTTAAGTGTACTTAAGCCATCCAGTAATTTAAACGAACTGCTCCAGACATTCGTTCAGTTTCGGATCAAAAACTGGATGACATTTTATCAATCATTATATATTTACCCTCCACAATCTCGACCATTCTGGGGTCGCTTTCCTTTTATGAACTTCATGATGAAATTAACTTCCGGTTACTGAAACCGAATGCAAACGAGCGTTTGATGTGATACACCACGAACAACGACTGCTAAACACGGCCGACCGTGTGTACGAAAACGGAAGACGAGTGGGTTTACGGGAGTCAAATGAGTGAAATAATACAAATGTCGTAAAAGTAAACAATTGGAATGGAATAAATTGAATAAATGGAATTGTTATTCCATCGATACGAAGGAAAACAACAGAAATCGAAGTAGCCAAAATGGTTGTTTTAAATCGGGATGTGATAGAAACACATTACACAAACAAAAATGAGTATTAAAATATATATTTTTGGTAAAAATGTAACTCAACTGTATCACTCTATATACAACTTTTCCAAATTTCCGTCCTAAATGTTTGGCCCATGATGTGAAGTTCACAATTTTTTTTATAAATGTACGTTTTTCTTCTTTCGTTACAGGTATTTAGGCAGTGGATGTGATCAGATAAATTTACGCTTGTCGTACAAAATTGGATACACGACTATCAGTAAGATTCTAAAAAAAAGTATGCAAAGTAATTTGGGAATGTTTGGAGACCTTTCTCGATTTTACACAAAAACGTTGGAAAGAAATTGCTCGAGGTTTTCAAAAATATGTTCATTTTTCGAATTGCTTAGGTGCAGTTGATGTACAATTGCACGTACAAATTAGAAAACCAAAAAACAGTGGGTTACTATTCTACAATTACAAACATTTTTTTTCAATTGTGGTTGCTAGCAATTGTAGACGCGAATTACAAATTAATTTATATTGATGTCAAGCGTGGATCTAGCACTCAAATCGTGGGTTTTTTTTTTAGGCCAATGGGGGTTTAAACCCTTAACCCCTCCTGGCTACGCCACTGCGAGTCAAACGTGAATAACACAACGGCGCGCGTATTGATAACGACCGTAGACAACCGTGGTAACGACTAACATTTCGAAACAATATATGTATTATGCTCCTCCCCGCTCCGACCGTGTAATATAACACCGGTTTAATTGTACACGTTATTATTGTACGTAGTACGTGCACAGGCGATAATGCATCTACAAGTGTAAAAATAATCGTCATTGTTATGAAATATTGTGCTCGCGCGCGCGTCCGTCTTTGATCTCATTCAGATGCGTACAAGTGTACGTACTTTCGGCGTCGTTAAAAACGCATGCAATTCGCGTAATTTTTAAATGAAACCACCGCGTGCGCGTGGTAATACAATACAAGACGCAATGTTGTCGGACTAAAATGTTTGAACAATTTCGTTCCTGCGTTCCGATACGACGAGCCGCGAGCTCGGTAATACGATTCGTTCCGTAAGCTTAAAGGTTGTAAACGTACATGTTTTCTAAAAATGAGGAGAAACATTGTATCGTCTCGTTTTCAAGCCCAATGCAGTCCAACGATTGCAACGAATGTACTTGGTCATTAAAAAAAAAAAAAAAAATCTTGTACTTTTGAATAAGACGTGGGAAAGTTGCACTTAATCGATGCACGTACAATGCGTTACATATTTAAACGATGCATTGTAACGTATTGTGCAGGTATCGGAAATCGCATCGCTAGGTCATGGCGAAAATCGTGTTGAACGCAATCGGTGAACGTTCGACGGCACAATTAGAATGAAAAATCTAGAGACGACACGAGTGAAGAACAAAATATTTCATTATGGAAATATGATAAAAATGAACACGCAACGAAATACGATTGTATGAGAGTGTCTACAATGAATACGTAATAAATCCTAATATTTTCATTATCCATTACTGAACAACGAATTAATTATGCGTTTTTATTGACGTTTCGGATGTCTGTACGAGTTACGAACACTTGCACCTTTACACTGTAGCCATTACCGACCCCGACTTACTCGTGTACACAAAACGTATGTTAATTCGATAATACATTTTAATAATTGCGATATACGTGTTTCAATCAAATGCATTTATCACAAAATGTTTGTCTTCAGAACTTGGATATTGTTGTTACGTTATGTACAATATTAGACCCACCCCCCCCTAAATGCCGTATAATCGTGCTTTAACGAGTACAACACATACATACACCTTGTGGAGAGTGTTTTGCGAATCCGTTGTGTTTGTCGTGCGGGATCTCATCGATGGGTTAATACCATAACGGTTCGTACCGCGTTAGATATTATACATATGTAATAATAATAGTTTATTGGAAATCAGGTGATACGATTGTATATGATTAAAAATATATAATAATATATATAAGATATTATAATAATCGAACAGTGTTTACGCGCAGAAGTTAATAATCCGACTAGAGTCGATGGTCAACGATACTCAACCTTTTTTCTTTTTTATTTGGGCCACATAAAATATTTTACGGACTGCAAGTTGAAATTAACGGAACGGAAATTAAAAAAAAAAAAAATAAATTTATGTATCGTGTATATTGTATAACATTTGAAAATGTATTATAAAAAATTTAATTAAATATTTATTTTAAATTATCGCGAATTTTTATATTGAGATCGGTATTCCACTATTTTGGACATATCTGGTTCGTAGTTGCTACTCTTAACAAGTCGTCAAGATGTGAATCAGTAAGCCGATTTCTGTACACATTCTCGGCATATCGAATTTGCGACACACTTTGATTGTTTTGTTATACCTATTTTATATTTATAATATAAGTTTTGAAATTTACATTTTTATCATCGATTCAATGAGTTCTGTTCGGGCCACTTATAAATCGTTGGAGGTCGAGCATCGCTGGACTGGACTATAGAATCTTGCGGACGAACGTACGCGTAAACGACTGCGGTCAACCGAATTCGAGTGCGCTGACGTGGTGGGTGGTGGTGGTGGTTAATTAGCAATTAATGTCAATTATTTCAAGGTATCCCAAACACGTTTGTTTAACGTACGCGCGTATTTATAATTCTCGTGCGTAGTGTGCGCGCGCGCACGTACGAACACAATGACTACGCGACGGCCAGTAGGGGGCAAAAAGGGCAACTGGTATAAAATATTATACGGTGTCAGTTGCCGACGAAAACAAGTGGCGAGCGCTTCTACAAAATAAAATAAAATAAATAAAACCGAATAACGAAAAACAAACACGCGCACGAACCGAAAGCAAACAATCGGACGGCGATAGTAATAAAAAAAAAAAAAACCCGACAATAATCCGTAATAGTGATCGCCGCGTACAACGATATTCGACGAGGCGCGCGCGTGTGAAAATCCTCGGCTCGTTCGCGCGCAAACGTTGTCGAACAACGCCGTTTCCCGCCATTTCTCGAACGGCCGAAAAACCCGAAAAACGTCCGGCACGGGCGCGCGCCCGACGGTTACGTCGTTCGTCGCACGCCTCACCCGACCGCTCCCGGTGCCGCCGCCGTGGACGTCTCAACGGCCGTGTTCTCGACGGCCCGTATCGTCGCGGCGGTGTTATCTCTCGAGTGCGCTCGCGTCCCCGACGGTACCGCCACCGACGCCCGGGCCGTCACCAGTCGTCATGACGTTCGCGGCCGCGGTCGAATTCGCCATGGTGTCCGTCGGCATGTTCGCGTCCAGCGCCGGCGTGGCGATCGTCGTCGTCGCCGTCATCGCGTATTCCGTGCACGGCAAGCTCAACAGGTGAGTCCATGCGCTGTCGGCAACCGCGTTCCGCCGCGGAGCCCATCCCTTAGCCAGACCGACGGTCGCGGCGTGTACTGTAAGCTTTGGAATCCCCCCTCTACCGCGAACCTCGTGCGAAACGTCGCCGCACCCTTGCGATCGCGCGGGCATGCCTAATATTTCGTAATATTTCAATGGTGGTCGACTCGGTCCGGTTGGTCCCGTGGTCGGGGCCAATCGTAACACGGTTGGTCAGTGTCGCCGAACAAAATGTACAACGGTCCGGTCAACAGGTTTACGACCACAACCAAGGAAGTACTTTAAGGGGTTGGGAATTCGTCCCCTTCCATAAATGTTTAACCTGCAGTAACGTTCATTCTAGCATTTAGACATTAAAACGTCTTTAACAGTAATTATTTAATATACTTTATGGTTGATTGGATTAATTCACTTGTTACTCGTATACTAATCCACATTACCCAGCACCCTAAAAATATGGTCTGCTCTTTACCAGACTTGAACCCCGAGTGTGACGCCTTTGCCGTTGGTAATAAACTCGTTTTGGTACACACTGCTCGCGAGATTTAATCCACGTGCATTATTTATTATTTTTTTTTAAGTATACAACCCTTAAAGTTGGTTTCATAATTGGATATGATATTCGCTCTGATATCTTCTCTGTTCTCAAGTAGCCTCTTCAATTCGTTGTTACTTGTTAGTCCAGCTTCCTGCATTAATCCTGCATTATTTATCTAACACTATTTGTTCATGCAATGTAAATATTATTTTAAGGCTCTAAATCCGATCGGGGGTTGGTGACTTGGTCTCATCGTTTCATGAGCACATGTCTACATAAACTGTTTGGTTTTTGTACCGCTGTCAGTGCATGTACGCCAACACTCGGTCAACCCCGGATATTATCATTCGACAGAGACTTTTTTCTAATAATTATACACAGCCAGTGTCACAAAAACCGGGTATGCAGAGTGTGCCGTATACATGGGCCCTAAGGCTTACATACATTTGAGGGGCCCCCTAGTCCCAGCCTAAATTAAGCTACACTTTACAAACACACAATTATTTAATAATATTATATTATTATTTTATAATAAAAAGAAACTTTTTTTAAAATTCAGGTAAGGATGTTATAATATTTTAGATTAATATAATGTTTATTTAACAATGAGTCCATTGAGTATTTGAGTAGGCATCAGTGGCGGTCAAATGATTTTGTCATGGGGGGGGGGGGGGGTAACTGATTTTTTAACAAACACTATATATAAAAATCTTTATTTTTAAACATGAAAAATATATTATATCAATGATATTTATATTATTAAATCTATTTTTCTGGTTTTTTTTTTGCCAATTCGCCCAGTACTTCGTCTACAGTTATATTGACAACCTCACGATGAACAACCGTAGTAGTTAAACCCTTGGTTAAACCATTGAGACGACTTTAAAATAATATAATTACACAATTCATATAATAATATAATATATTATATTAAACATTAAATACTAAATTTAAATTTCATACATTCCTATAATTTAACTATAAAGGAAATGAAAAAAATCTAAAGAATTTATTTCAATTAATATTTTAGTGTTTTATGTTTGAACTGTTAATTTTATTCGAGCCCAGAGACTATACGAGTATAATAACTAATAAATGCAGTATATTTATTTTTTTAAATATAAAATAGATGAATACCTATATTATATTATGTATAATATAATTGAATTATAATTATTTAAAAAAAGGTCATGGGGGGGGTCTATCCCCTTCATCCACCCCGTTTGACAGCCACTGGTAGGCATACAACATACCTACCTAAACTACTTAAATAAATGTACTACATAAGTATGTATTGAAGTATAATATACAACAATTGTAGGTATTTAATTTGATATACATAAATATATCATACACTAATTGATGAGAAACATGTTTTAAAACCTAAAAAAATTGATACTTATAAATAAGACGTACAACAAAAATAAATCCTAGGAAAGGGCCTAATATAATTACCGCACACGGACCTCTTATTTTGTAGTTGCGGCACTGTACACAGCTATGAGATATTGCGGAAGAGTTACGGACAAATATTCTCGGGTTTGTTGTCGAGTCGAATACGAGATGAAAGCTCTCCGGGTCAACTTTAAGAAAGTCATAATCACTTTTTATGTTGAAAAATTTTAGTCGCAATAGCTAAGAGTTGCAACTAAATGTGAAATCGTTTTGAGGTTGGGACGTTGTACGAATACTGAACATTCGAGTTATGTATGTTCAAATATGATATAAAAACACATTATTCGACTCGTATAAGTAAGCAGTTCACCGTATATTATACTTGTTCACTTGGGATCATCAATAATAAAAAATAATAAAAATATATTGATGTAGATAATTGTTTTATCATGAAAAAGTTATAATAGTTTAAGGAATACATTTAATAATATTTTACAGCAATGATACATACCTACGACTAAATTTTAAAACTATTCTCCTTTTTAAATGTTGTGATAAATTCTTAAATCTTTACAGTTATAACTATAATGTGTAACCATGGTCGGACGTCACAAATTTGATTTTGCCTATTGACTTTTTAAATGGATGAATACATCATATATGAGTATTGCGTCCTCTTTAATAAATATAATCAGTTGCTCTTCGATTTCTAACGATCGCATTTACTTTTTCCTCTTACCCTATTTATTCCAATCTTTATTGGCTTGTATGATTATCAATACTTTTAGAGTAATAATTATTTAATGTGATTTTATTTGATAGTTAAATTTTTTTTGACAAATCATTAGTCACACTATACATATCGTCTGAACTCTTATAAAAACATCTTCATGAAAATATGGCGTAGATAAATTTTATTTTAACAATTTGCAAATACTAAAAATAATTATTATTTTTATATTTTTTACAACAAAAAATCTGAATTCTTTTGCCTTCTTATAAATTTTAGTGGGACAGTGCAAATATCGCAACATCATAATTTCATGAAATTGAATGTTTTTTTCCATATATATATGCACTATGTAACTTTTTCGACTGTAAACTGTGGTTTCCGTTGCAGTACTGTTTGGAGTGTGATTTGGATAGGATATAAGTGAAATAGTAAATGGATCAAAAGTAGTTTGTACAGAAGTGATAAAAACCTCTTACATGTTTTTTTTCGACATCGACTAAAAAATGCATCTACCATCATGTATTTTATAAGCTATTCATATATTTAGTTGATGAAGTAATAAATAATTGAGAGAGAAGATATTAAGATTATATTAACGTTGATTAGCTAGTATAAAATAAAATTGTTTTCTTTTTGGTACTACAATTATAATAACGTTTAAGATAAATTGGTGATATTTATCTCTTAAATAAACTCTAATCTCTAATATTTTTTCTTTTTTATTCTAGTTTTTGATAAATTCAGTAGTACAACTATTTTATTAGCAGGACATTTTTTTAAATATGAAATAAACTCATATACACTCGTATGATATTTATCGTACTCATATATTGTCATTTATATGATTTTTTTTTTTTTTTAAAGACATGAATTGTTTTAGACTAATGTATGGATAAATAAAAAATTTAAACAAAAATAGCAAAATAATTTCGTGTTCTCTCTGACTACTGTTTACATTGATGTTATAGTTTAATTATACATAATTTATCTCAATAATATTAAAATAACTTCAACAGGAAATCGTTTAAGATTTGATTGCCATCACGAACTATGAAGGCACAATACGGGTTTTATGAAGCAGCTGCTTTATGACTAAAATAGAGTTGGTAGGAAGTGCGACAGATTGTGTAATACATAATTTGCATATTTGACAATTTTTTATATATTATTTTCTATGAACACATTCATTTTAAAATTTATGTATCTAGTAATAAAATTAAACCCTGAATCTAAAACTTTGACTTGGGATGGGTACTCGATACATATAAATGCTACATTGAAAAATATACTTCGCACCGCCACTGATGCGCAATTTATGGAATTCGATAATAGTTCTCCCTACGATTGCAAACATGATCATATAATAGTGTTGTTTGATCTCATGACATACATTTTTTTTTTTTCAATACCTGAAAATATCTTATGGTCTTGACATTGGATGAGGTTAGATTGTTTTAAAGGAAACAGTGTAATATGAACACCTTTGTACTGTCATTGATATTATTAGTTATTAAACAATTACAAAAAAACCTATACAACTTATTAGAACGTTTTGTTTATCATTAAATATATTATATCACATTTCTGCGTAAAAACATATCCAGTAAACAATTAATAGTCAATAGCTCATCTATTTTGGATATTATAAATATAATTGGTGTAGTTCATCCGGCACCTATGGTATATCAAAATCAACCGATATTTTATTTTTCCTTATCCTTTCTATAGATGTGTAATCAGCGATAAAACCAATTTCGTAAGTGTTGAATATTCAATTAATCTATGTTATTACTTGATATTAATTTTTAGAATAAAAACCAATTACAATTAGTTATAATTTGTATTATTAATTATTACCTACATTGTGAAAATGTTGGGCAGTAGAAAATTAGAGGGTTGGTCATGAAATTGAATAGTTTTGATAGTTAACAGACCCTAGAAGAAGTATAGATTATGAAATAAATTATCATGAAAAATTACCAACACACTCTTATAGTGAACATTGTGTAAGTTGAGGTTCCAACGGGGGGAAAAATGATTTTTGGCATGAGTTTCAGTTTAAAGGATGTTCGTCCGACATAGATCTCATTGTATATTTTCAATAATCGTGATCTTATCATGCATTGTAGAATTATATATATTTGGAAATATAATTTATAATATCATCTAGTAATAAATTGTGAAATAATTAATATTTCGTAGATATTATAATATTATAAGTCTTTTTGGTGTACATTTCCAATATACAATCATACTTTAAAAATAATTTCGTTATGATTAGTGAATAGTGTGCTATGCAATGCAGGAATATTG